CTCTCTCTCTCTCTCTCTCTCTCTCTCTCTCTCTCTCTCTCTCTCTCTCTCTCTCTCTCTCTCTCTCTCTCTCTCTCTCTGTGTCTCTGTCTCTCACAGGCTCTCCGCCGCCTCGTCGCCATACCCACTTCGCCCACTCCAGAAAAGGTGATGAGCGCAGCAGGAGGGACTTTCAAAATGTGTGGAAGTGCCTTGCTTCACCCAAGTAATGCGAACCCGAATACCCCCCACAGCCACACCGACAATCCATCGGAGGCAACCCCAGCCTCCCCAGGCGGCCTCTTGTAGATGCCGGACTGTGCCGAAACGTTTTTTTTTTTTTCACTTTTTTTTTTCATCTTTCAAATTCTTTCAGTTCATCTTCACTACCTACCTACCACCACTCCTCAGGCTTGCAAGGGTAAGTAAAACAATAATAATAATGATAAAAATTCCAAATTAACCGTAAAACTAAAAAGAAAAGGAACATGCTGGCATGTGTACTTTTTTTTTTCCCATCATTAATTTAAATAGAAATGGGTGAAATAAAAAAAAATAAAAAAATTGGTGGGTACCCAGGACCCTTAATCACCCCACTCCCCCCTACAAAAAAACATTTTACCATCACCAGCAAAAAAAAAAAAAAGGCCCTTCCTGCTCCCCATGATGGTCGTGTCCGGAGACCGGTTACCGAAATCGTGAATGGTGACCGGTGTCCGTTCACAACCCCCCCCGTTCATGAACGGGGGTACAAGACTGGTAAAGACAATGGACTTAAAATCTGTTTCTACAGGTCATTGGTTCAAGTCCGATAGCAAGCATGTTAACCTGTGTTGGTTTGGGGTACCCATTCGTAACGGTTGAATCGATGTATAGTTGATTCTGTATTTTTTTTCCCGGAAATTGAGTACCTGTCCAATCATCCAGTTTTCTTTTCGTTCAGGAACACAAATTTTGTCACTTTCTAGTACCCATCGGCGCCGCATTTCAGGGTTTCCTTGGGGGCCGAGTCACTCTGCATAAATTGACTGAACACAAAAACCCTTGATTCAGAACTGTTTTGCATGCCAAATCAGTGAAAGTGGGAAGCTGAAAGATGACTGTGGGAAAAGATAGGCAGGGATCTTACAGTCTGTGCTTCATACGATAACAAGACCTCGATACATCCAGGGAGTCCAGCGTTTTAAGAAAGGCGGACGCTCAGGAGCAGCAAAATGGGACGAGTTTTCGGCCAAAAAAGTGGGTTTCAATTCCGTTCAAAAAAGAAAAAATGTCCGCATTGACGAAATGGCAGTTACTCAATGTCCTTTCCAAAGAAGAATTTGATATAAACTTAGAACGCTTATTACTATTGATTTTGAAGCTTAACTGATCTGATTGACTTGGTCTGTTGATTGATGTTGGTTTGATAGAGAGGTTTGGAAAACATTGACGTTGCCGAGAGACTGACAACTATGGCACTATCTGTTAGCATGGATCGACGACTCAGGATGCAGGTTCGTTTTGTTTCTTGTAGTTAAATTAAGATGGTAAATGGAGTAAATAAATGTCTTAATTTTTTTTTTTTTAATGATGTAATCCCGACCTAGTACCTTCTACTGGTTGATATCATTATGATAGCCCATCCCATGGTCCAGTGCAACAAACAATACATACCATGGTCCAATACATGGTCAATGGTCCAGTCAACAATCCATCCCATGGTCCACTCGGTGGTTGATGGTTCAGTCAATTGTCAATGGTCCAGTCAACTATCCATCTGGGTAGTGCTGGAGAAAGGCAGATAGGGGAGACTACCTTCTCCTCCCAGATACAACATACGGTCATTATAGCTGTATGTAGACCGAAAGATACCCCAAATACAGCTAGAATGACCGTACGTTGTATTTTGGGGAAGAAGGTAGGGAGAGGCAGAGAGTGAGAGTATGAGAGAGAGCAGCCACACACTAGAGTTGAGGGTGTCGTGCCACCAGAGCTTAGCATGAGAGAGAGAGTGAGGTTTTGAGCAACAAGGAGAGAGAGAGAGAGAGAGAGAGAGAGAGAGAGAGAGAGAGAGAGAGAGAGAGAGGCTTAGCATGGTTAGATGTCACAACCCTCAAGGTACGAGGCAACATTGATCACCTCTTCCCTTAACAGCGTCCTCTTTGCCCTTACCCACATTGGAACCGTTCTCGAACAGAGCGATGTACAGAAAACCAAGATGCAAAATACACAGTCCAGATAGTCATGTAACAAGCCCCACCTGAAATGTTGGGGCTTAATCATAAGATTTCGTTCCTAGTTAGCGACGACTTGCCATTTGACATATTGTTAGGTATGTAAACTACCTTTTTGTCAAAAAGGACATTTTTTATTTTTTAAACGAAATTGAAACTGAGTTTTTACAACTTTTTTGGTCGAAAACTCGTCTAAATTTTACTGCACCTGAGGGTCCGGCGTTTTTAAAATGTCGGAACCCCAGGATGTATCAGGACTAATCTTGAGACCAGATACATCCAAGGGGGACCGACCGCCTAGATGTATTTGGTCTCAAGCTAGGTCCAGATACATCCAAGGGGTCCGGCGTTTTAAGAACGCTGGACCCTCCGGAGCAGCAAAATTTAGACTAGTTTTCAGCCAAAGAAGTTGAAAAAACTCAGTTTCAATTTCGTTCAAAAAATAAAAAATGTCCATTTTGACGAAATGACAGTTTGTACTACCTCGAGGTTGCAAAGCCCTAGTTTGACTGGGATCGAAAGGTGCATCAACATTCTATAATTACTATAAAAAGAACCAAGAGGAGGGTATGCACTTAGTTTTTGTCTCTGAGAAAGGGGAGGCTGTTAAAACACCCCCAAAGATAGAAAAAGGAGCCTTCAAGAGTTGTAGAAAGGGAGGTTGTCCATGCCATAGAGATAGTTACAGGGAGCAAGATACACAAAGGAAAAATCTATAGGATGACACTGGTTGACTTAGACGAACTGCAGTGACAATTGAAAGAGCTCACAGAGAACTGTTGGATACGGCCTAGCACCTCCCCTTTCGGCTCACCAGTCCTATTTGTCCCGAAGAAGGGGGGAACACTGAGGATGTGCATTGATTATAGAGGCCTCAATGCCATCATTGTTAAGAACGCAAAGCCTCTGCCTCGCATTAACGACCTATTGGATAGAGTGCAAGGATGTAGCTACTTTACTAAGATAAACTTAAAGTCCGGCTACCATCTGATTGCAATCCGACCAGAGGATCAACATAAAACTGCATTTCAGACTAGATCCAATATGTATGAGTTTGTGGTAATGCCCTTTGGTCTGTGCAATGTGTCTGGTACATTCTGACACGCTATGAATAAGGTATTTCACAATTACATAGACAAGTTTATTGTCGTTTATCCCGATGATATACTTTAGTAAGACTGTCGAGGAGCATGCGCAACATGTTGACCTTGTGCTTGGTCTCCTTCGGCAACACCAATATAAGATTAACTTGGAGAAATGCGGATTTGGTGGCACCAAGATCTTGTACTTGGGTCATGAAGTATCCGAAGAAGGAGTGGGGCCGGAAGATGCGAAGGTGGCTAGCATTCGTGACTGGCCACGACCTCAGTCTGTGACGGAGGTCAGATCATTCTTGAGTATGACGGGCTACTACGGCAACTTTGTTAAGAACTATAGTACGGTGGCCACACCCTTGAGTGATCTTACACGCCTTGACGCCCCTTGGGAATGACCTAATGAGTGTGAGACAACTTTCAAGAGACTGATGCATGCTTTCACTCACGATGAAGTTCTCATGCTTCCTAATCTTGAGAAGCTATTCATTGTGACCACAGACGCAAGCCAATACGACATTGGCTATGTGTTGACTCAACATGAAGGAAAGAAGTTGAGGTCGATTGGGTATATGAGCAAGAAGATGCCATATAAGAAATTAACAAAGTCCACCTATGAGAGGGAACTTTATGCCCTCTACGAATCCCTGGTCCACTGGCGTCATTATCTACTAGGTAGGTTCTTCTATTTGAGGACCGATCATCAGACGCTTAAATGGATCAAAACACAGTCTGTTCTCTCTGGCGCACTCAAACGTTGGATTGAAGTCATAAATCAGTATGACTTTAAGCTAAATTATGTGAAGGGAGATTATAACAAGGTTGTTGATGCGCTATCTCATAGGGCTGACTATCTAGGTGCATTGATAACTGAGTTTGGCCTATCCGATAATCTAACTCGATCGATGATGGAAGCCTATGAGAAGGACCCCATCATGATGGACATCATCCACAAGCTCGAGAGTCAGGATAAGGCCACATCTGACGAGTTTATGATGGTGGATGGGATGCTCTTTCTTGAAAAGGCAGGGAATAAAAGTCTATTAAAAGATTGTGTGTGCAGAATAGTGAAATTTTGCGTAGTTTGCTTTTAGGATAGTGTCATGACGCAGCATGATATTTTGGCTATAAAATTACTCGTGCAAATTTGGTATAACGATTCTGGTGGCCTGGTATGTTAGACGAAGCCAAGCAGTACGTAAAGTCTGTCAGCGGGATAAGCCTCAAACTCAAGCTCCGATTGGGTTGCTCAAGCCCTTGCCCATTCCTGCTGGTCAAGGATAGAGTGTCTCCGTGGACTTATTGGATACACTTATGACCAGCAAGAGTGGCAAGAGGCATATCTTCGTCATAGTTGATAGGTTTACTAAGTACGCTGGACTGATTGACATGCCCGAGACTGCAAGGACTGAACATGTCATCAAGTTATTCATGGATAACTGGGTACATGACTTCAGACTGCCAAAGACTATCGTTAGTGACAGAGATGTTCGTTTCACTAGTGAAATGTGGAAGAAGGTTGCAGAACAGATGGGCAACCAACTCCAAATGACTTATGGGAATCATCTCGAAGCCAACGGACAAGCTGAACAAAGGAACCGAGTGGTGCAGCATCAGCTGAGGCATTATATTAACCCCAACCAAGAATGACTGGGATGAGAAGTTACCTCTCATCGCCAACCTATACAACAATGTGGTGCACAACACCATCGGTGTCAGTCCAAATCAACTGCATTTGGGGTGGAGGCCTAAACCTGCTCTAGACTTCCTCCTACCTGAAAACCGATCTGCTGCAACTCCTGGAACCAGAGAATTTGGCGTTCAGTACGAGATCCTAGGGCACTTCTCGCCGTCATCATCACTTGTCATCTTCATGGAGTTTTTTTCCCTCTTTTCTAACTGTCCTTTCGTTAACTAATGATTGGTTTTAGCGAGATGGTAAGTTAGGGGAGAGTCGTCCTCTGCAGGGGCATCGCAAGGCGGGAGGTGATTGCCCTGTAGGGAGCGAGGGCAAATTTTGGGGATTGTACTAATTTGGGGCTGGGATTATATCCTAGCGATGGCAGATTGGGGCAAAGGTTTGATCGAGGCATACTTTTGGGGGAGTTGTATGCCTTGTAGAGAGAATGGGAGGAATGGGTCTGACCCTAGTTGGGGCTGATGAGGATTGCTCTTGATCAGGGCACTTCTGTTCAGCGAAGGCAGCGAAGTGTCAGCGTGAAAAGTAGGAGAGTGAGGGGGGGAGAAAAAATCTTCATTCTCATCAGCTTCATCAACCATTATCATCATCATCATCATTATCATCAACTTCTCTATTCGTATTTCCCTGTTCTTTTTTATACTTGAGGTTGTGAAAATCCTCCCCACAAGGTTGCTGACGTGGAGGACAGGATGGGTTAACTGGGGAAAGCTCGTTTCTGCAAGGGAATCACAAGGTGGGAAGTGTTTGCCTATAGGGAATAAGGGCGGACAAGGGGGACTGTCTGACTCTGGGGCCGGGAGAGATGGAAGGCGGAACATCATCTACTAGTGGTGGTAGAGTAGGACAAATATGGCTTGAGGTAGGCTTTTTGCGGGAATAGCCTTCTTAAGTTTGAGGGGAGTAGGGTAGAGGGAGACCTTCCTATTGTTGGGCTGTGAGGAACCGCTCAACAGTAGAGTGGTTTTGATTAGCGGAGGCAGCAAGGGAGAGGAGGGGTGGTAAGAGGGGAAAAGAGGAGGGGTGGACAGGGGAGGGTCAATCAACATCTAGTATCATCATCATCATCATCATCATCATCATCATCATCATCATCATCACTTTGGTCCTGGGAAGTCTTGGATATCGTGGGTAGTGAACTGGATGGGCCCTCGTATGTGATTCGAATCCCTGCTTACTTGCGCACTTACCCTGTGTTTCACACCTCAAAGCTTGCACCTTTCATTGAGATACAGCAGTTCCCATCAGGGAGATCAATGCTGCCCCCAACGATGGATGGCCACGTGGACGTCGATGACATTTTGGAGCACAAAGGCATGCCTGTTCCTAAGCCTGTGGGTAGAGGAAGACCGCTGAAACCCAAGAGGGAATAGCGGGTCAGATTCAGGCATCACACGGATCCAAAAGAAGACAAATGGTTCACCAGAGAGGAACTGATTAAAACAGCACCTCAGATTGTGGCAGACTATGAAAGAAGGTTGAAAGGGAAGGCTCTTGCTTAAGAAGATCTCAGCGGACTTTCGAAGCTAAGGGGGATGGAATGTGAGGAATGTGTCCTCATGGGGCCCTAGACAACATGCATATGTTCTGGACTGTGGCGCCCAACAAGCCTTGTGCCCGCCCTAAGTGAAGGCGGACCTGAATATCCACGAGAGGCCCTTATCTCAGCATTTTCCAATGTGGGTCTCAGACAGTAGCTGGACGCCAGTTGGTTGAAGTGCAACCTGGGCCTCACCCTGGGCTCTTCCAGACGAAGCAGCTGCGTCAGGCAGTTGAGCCCAGGACGCAGGTGGTTGCGCCCTGGGCACACGCAGTGTGAGTCCGACACATCACGAAGTGGCCACGGACCAATGAGAATGCAGCATTGTCGTCACATCTACCCCGGGGGCCAATGCAAACACAGCAGACATTCGGAGCCCGGATAATCCTGGGTGTGCCCAACTGAAAAGGGCCCAGGCCCTCGACTGTATATATGGGCCTGCGCGTGGACACTGGGGCTCGACCACAAGCTGAAACTTCCACCGCCAGGCCCAGACAGTCCAGCAGCTGCAGCAGCGACTCCCATATAGGGAGCAGGCCAGCCAGTGGTGGGTATTCTGGCCTAGGCAGGCAATGCGGATACGCTGCTGCGTGCTGCGCAAGCATCTGCATTGGCCGCTGCTGGCCAGGGCACACACGGGCGCTAAGAGGTGAAGGGCGCTGCAGGGCAGCGGGGCGCCAAGCGGCCATATCTGGGCTGCAGGGGCGCGAGCGGGTGATAAGCGACGGTGGTCTTCAGGAAGGAGGCGCAGGTGTGGTGGACAAAGGGTGATGAGGGGAGTCGAGAGTACGTACCTGGTGTATGTGGGAGGTCGGCATTGGTGTTGACGTCATGTACATTGGTCCGCGATGGCTAAGTGAGCCTGTTGCTCGAATGTAGATAGGCTAGGAAGGATGAGTAGAGTAGGCTGGGTGCTGAGCGCAGACAGTAGGAGTGACATTGAATACTGCGTTGGTGTGGCCTGAGGGCTTGGACATTGGCTCACGAGTTCATTGTGTTGCTCTTACTTGGATGGAATCTTGGTGCATTTGAGATCTCTGCTTGTTACATGACTATCTGGACTTCTGCATGATTTTGCAATTTGGTTTTCTGTATATCGCTCTCGCTCATATTCCTTGCAAAAAAAAAAAAAAAGTCCATAACTTTGGAATTGGTTTGTGTGATTCACCTTTTTTTTTTTGGCAGGAAGAGGTGGAGGGGGCGAAGGTTGCCGAGTGTACATTTGCGCCGCAGATAAACGCTAACACGGACAGGATCATGCAAGAGTCCCAGCGGTTCCTAGGACAGAGAAAGCAGTTCTTGAAGCGGCAGCAGGAGTTTCTCGAGCAGAAGCGGCAGAAAAAAGTGTGCCCCAGAAAAAGCTCGTACTACCTCTCCTATTATCAGATTATCTCATCAAGCAGCTCATTCCTCTTTTTCGATGATGAGATGAGATGAGATGACATGAGATGAGATTGACAATGTGTGAAATGCAAGGTAGCCTTAGCCAGCCTTGCTGGCACTGCAACAAAGACATTATTATTACTCACAGTCTCAGACTGCACAAGAAAGAATTACAGTAACTGTGGTAAAAGTCTGGTTGGTTACCTGTTTCTTCAACTGTTACTGTTACCGTTACACATTACTGTTACTGTTACTGGCACTGGCACTGGCACTGGAAGTTAAGGGCGGGGTCCTACTAGCGAAGAGGATTGGATTGCCAGTGAATGCCTGAATCTGGATGTGCCCGATGCAAAGGTGCCTAATCTTCGCTGAAAAAACGTCCAGATTCAGGAGCTGAATCAAATCCTCTTTGCAAGTGGGACCTCGCCTTAACACTGCCACAGCTCCCCTTGGATCAGGATTGGAATTGTGCAAGTAATGCCATAATTCAAAATTGCAAATCCCGGAGGTTTTCCCTCAGCCCCCCCCCCCTCCCTCCACTGGCCCACCTCCCCTGTTTTTGTGTGGCTATGGAAGATGTGTGGCTATGGAAGATTTCAAATTTTTGGTCTCCTTCCAGCACAGTCTGTTTCACCGCAGCTCTTTCTCCTTTTCCCGTCTCCTCTTTTCTTTTCTTCACCTCAATATATCCTATTATCGTCATCTCGTGCGACTCGTCCACTCCACTCATGTCATCACAGTACCCTCTGATGCTCTTAGGCCACCAGTACCTCTCCAAGGCAAACTTCGGCGGCACCAACGCATTCTCTGGGGGCTCGGCCTGCGTCACTGCCACACCCGTTCGTTTTGGAATTGGCACGCAACATAGATCCTCCACAGGAAAAGGAGGCAGGGGCATACTGGCGGTTTATACGAAAAAGAAAAGAAAAGAAAAATTATCCTGCGACTCTCTGCCCATAAAGGACTCGGAAAAGTTCATATGAGAGTGAGTCCTGTGACTTGTCTTCTCTCCTCTATTCCCCCTTGGTTCACAGGAGATAAACTATCCCCTACCTTTTGCCGCTGCACTGGGTGCCAGAAGCGCCGCCMCCCCCCCGCCCCTGCGTCAGTTGGTCGGGGGGGGGGGTGACGATCTTACCACGAGCGCCACCCCCATCGCCCCTTTGTCAGATGGTGCATTGGGTTGACGATCTGACAGGCACAGTTTTTTTGTCCGATTTCCCTGCCTGAAAGGATTGGCATAATTTTGCAGGAGGTAGAGCTGGTCGTGTAAACCACCGTTATCCTTTCTGGCTGCTCAGATTATGGGGATCCCACTGCAGCCTTTTTCCTAGTTGGTACATCCAATTGACAGTCTGTCGGTTACAAATTGCCCCCATTCGGAACTCTTTTGTGACACAAACGGACTTTAAGTTACCCCTTCAAACTTTCTCTCTCCATTCACAAGGAACAACCCTGTCCCCTTGCTGGCCGCTACTGTGTCTATTTAGTGCTCACTGTGCCGGGCTGCTGTAATAGTTCTTCCCCTCAAAGAAACAACAGATTGTGTGTATGTAAGTGTATGTAAGTGTATGTAAGTGTATGTGTGTGTGTGTGTGTGTGTGTGTGTGTGTGTGTGTGTGTGTGTGTGTGTGTGTGTGTATTACTTGAGAGAGAGAGAGAGAGAGAGAGAGAGAGAGAGAGAGAGAGAGAGAGAGAATGGTGGAAGCAGCTGGGTATCTAGTAAGTGAAACGGATGATAGATAGCCAGCTGCTTCCACCATTCTCTGGTGACTGAAGTCCCTGAAGATGCCTCTGGTGTTGTAACAGTGATTTCGTAAAAACGGACATTTTATATTTTTTGAACGAAATTGAAACCTTCTTATTTGGCCCAGAAAATATCACTGTTTATCTCCTGAGGGTCCATTTGGACTCAACTGAAGTTCAGGTACTTCCAAGGGGGACCCTAAGGAGCTAAAACGGTGACATTTCCAAGGCCAAATAACTTGAAATAAGTGGGTTTCAATTTCGTTCAAAAAATATAAAATGTCTGTTTAAGTTTTAACGAAATCGCTGTTTTGTCAGCACTGTCCGACCACCAGACATGCACGCCGCATATTTTATTCTTTGGCTGGGAAACGCACGCAGTCTGTTGGTCTAATACCCAAACCAGGACTCTGTTGGAAAGCTAGGCAAAGGGTCTCCCACTTTTGCACTCATTCACATGACTTTAGAGTCTAGACTGGCACGTAACTCTCAGTTTGGGGCCCTTAATGTCGTAATGGGTACTGTAACTTAGTACCTTTCATGGTGTTCAATGGTGAATTGAAGGACCCTCTCAGGGGGCGAAGGCCCTGTTAAGCCAAGATAGCAGCTGTGGGATCAAGCACTCAGGCTCATTTTTTTTTTCTGCTTCGTTTTTTGTGGGGGTAACTACGGCGCAGTCACGTTTTCAGTTCTAAATCCATTTCCGGCATCCCTTGAATACAACACATCCCCAACCAACCCTAAAGCTGGGTTGGATACATTCACGATTTTCCTGGGTTTGGAGTAAAATTCATGAAACCGTGAGTGAATGAAACACATTTAAAACTGAAAACCTTGCCTGCGGCCTAGGCCCCTAGGTTTCCCTTTTTTTGTGAGGGAGCAAGTACTAAGGTTCTGTCACGCTTTCCCCTTCCAACAGCTTTTTGTTAAAACTTAAAACGGACATTTTATAGTTTTTGAACGAAATTGAAACCTACAAGCACTCGCAGACGATCTCCTGGCCATTTCGGCCAACTCCAGAGACTCCCTGGAAGCACTACGGGCCAGCCTCCAGAAGTACGAAGACCTGTCAGAAGCAGCGATAAATTGGAATAAGTCAGTGCTAAATTCCCGGTCCGACCGGCGGTCCGACCGGGGGGTCCACCCCCAACCGGAACCGGGCTGGTGGGACCGGCCGGTCGACCGGTCCGGTTCCCCCCCGGCAGCCTACAGCGCATTGGAGGGGAAGGCCCGAATCAATTTTTTTTTGGGCCAGGAGGCCCCCACGCGGGTTGTGGGGGCCTCCTGGCCCAAAAAAAAATCGAACCTGGTGGCGCAGGCCTCCCTTTTTGTTTCCAAAGCGGCAGCCTCTCCGGACCGCTGATCGAGGCAGATCGGCGGCCCAGATGAGGCCGCCGTTTTGAAATTTGGAGGGAGGCGGTCGTCCTCCGTTTCCCGCCTTTGCCCGTCGGCCTCCCCCACTTCCAGTTTCCCGTGGCCTCGCCGTCGTCGACCGTGCCAGTCCCCGTCGCCATCCTCCTCGTCGTCGACCATGCCAGCCCCCGTCGCCGTCCTCCTCGTCGTCCGTGGCCGTCGCCACCACCTCCCGTCGCGCGTCGCCCGTCGCCGTCCGTGGCCCGCAGCGCCCGTCGCACAGGTAAGTCGCCATCTTCTTCTTCTTCTTCTTCTTCTTCTTCTTCTTCTTCTTCTTCTTCTTCTTCTTCTTCTTCCTCTTCTTCTCACCGAAGCTTACCACTTCTGAGAGAGAGAGATAGATCGTTTTTTTTTTGTTTTTTTTTTCATCTTGTACTGCTGCCGCTGCCACGTGGCAGCGAACGCCACACGTGGCATCCCGACGCATTGAGAGAGAGAGAGAGAGAGAGAGAGAGAGAGAGAGAGAGAGAGAGAATCGTTTTTGTTTTTTGTTTTTTTTTTCTTGTACT